TTGTGGGACACTCTTGTGGGACACTCTTGCGGGACACTCTTGTAGGAAACTCTTGTGGGATACTCTTGTAGGACACTCTTGTGGGATACTCTTGAAGGACACTCTTGTGGGACACTCCTGTAGGACACTCTTGTGGGACACTCTTGTGGCACACTCTTGTGGCACACTCTTGTAGGACACTCTTGGGGGACACTCTTGTAGGACACTCTTGTGGGACACTCTTATAGGACACTCTTGTGGGACACTCTTAAGGGACACTCTTGTGAGACACTCTTGCGGGACACTCTTGTGGGACACTCTTCTGGGCCCCCATACGGGACACTCTTGTGGGACACTCTTGCGGGACACTTGTAGGACACTCTTGCTGGACACTCTTGTGGGACACTCTTGTGGGACATTCTTGCAGGAAACTCTTGTGGGATACTCTTGTAGGACACTCTTGTGGGACACTCTTGTAGGACACTCTTGTGGGACACTCTTGTAGGGCACTCTTCGTACGAGACTTCCTCCAAAAGTCACACGTCAAGTCTCCAAAACGAGCGTTTCGTACGAGACTTCCTCCAAAAGTCACGTCAAGTCTCCAAAACGAGCGTTTCGTACGAGACTTCCCCCAAAAGTCAAGCGGAAACACCCATCGGAGCACACGCGTCACGCAGTCCTGCCAAGCAGTTTCGCGATTCCAGCCCCTCCAAACAACACCCACTCACACGCCAATCCCAATGCGACAGCGACATTCACCTCTACCACAACTCACAACCTGACGATTCCCTGCGCCTGCCATGCACCTTTCCGCGTCCACACATCTAACTGCGCCTGCCACGAAATGTCACCTCCGTCACACCTCGCAACCTCACGATTCCCTGCCCCTGCCACGAAAATCGCACTTCCACACCTCAAAGCCCGCACAAAGTACTGCGCCTGCCACGAAAAGTGACAATATCATCGCATGTGAGCTTCAACAAAATTTGCACCACACCACACGCTTGGAATGATTTCGACCCGTTCTGAGCACACTCCCATCCACCAAAATCGCCACTTCAGCTGAGACTTGAAAACGGAGCTTCGATGCCACACCCTGAAACGCAAATCCCAACGGCACGGCCACATCCAACACCCCAAAAACATCAAAAACACGACTCTCCAAACGCTAATCCCAATGGAACTGCGCAGCAAACTGCGGATCTCACAAAACGCTGCACCTGCGCAGTGAAATCATCCTCCACACTTCAACATCTTACATTTCCATACGATTCCTCGCTATTTAACACAAATCTCACACGTCACGTTTCCATCCGAAACCCTCTCCAAAAGCTTCCCCGCATGGCAGCGCCTTAGCGCTCTACTGCGA